GGGTGTCACAGGCGTGTCACCTTTCGATGGCTTTCCGATCGTGCCGACTGATCGCCAAGCCCCTAAAATGATGGTTGTCGGTGTAGACCAGTTCTTCTACCTGCCGAAAACACTCGTGGCAGCGACGCCTCGGTGTGATATACGTGTAAGTGGTGACACGGTTGGTGTGGTGATACAGGCTGACTCTTCCTTGGCTCAGATTCGCCTGGCTACCCCACTGTTTGTTAACGATATTACTATGTTTGTGCGGCAACGGCTGTGGGTTGAACTTGCTAAGGAGGCGTTGATCGAAGAGACCTACTTGGCGGAGATGGCTGGCTTGGCGACTGAGCTCACTTTTGCTGCACAAGGCCTTGAACTTCGGGTTTATGGTTTTAAGGATTCTCTGGCAACTCTGATGAGAAACGTGAGACATCCTATATGTTGACTCTTCAGCTCATGAGGATCTTGGTGTCGCATTTTGTGGTATGCAGTTTGCAATGTTTTCGTGGATCCTCTCATCCTCCGCAGTTGACAACGATTGGGGTTGTAGGTATTGGAGGTCATTCTCAACTTGAAGAAGGCTGAGGGTCTACTGGAGGGACGTTTTGGGGCTATCAAGGAGGCTCTGGAACGACGGTGGGTACACGATCGGCACTCTGTTGTTTGTCTCGCAATAGCTTATCTGGATTCATGCGAGAGGTCCCGAGTTCGATCCCTGGAGGATCCGCTTTCTGATCCACAGGTTCTTCAATGAGGACATGCGTCCTATTCCCTGCGCCTCCGCCATTCGTAGGATGACCCTCCTTTCACGCGTAATGGAAATGAATCCATTTCCTAGTGGCTGAAACTCTCCCGTCTCAGGGAGCAATGCATCGCGGCCTTACTAAACGAGCAGTACTTCAGGAGAAGGGAGTGGCTGACAGCCTCGATCAAGTGAGGTCATCTTGCTATGACGTTTGATCTTCGAATGTCCCTTTCCCTGTTCGGGCTAGTTATCTTCTTCGCCGTCGCCGGTCAAGTGGCTTTGACAGCTGTTTTGTATGCCTGCTTTGTAGATACTGGGAGACTTTGACAGTGCTGTGAAGCAACACGGTGTGAAGGCTGAGTGCCTCATGCTGGGTAACATCAAGAAGGATTTCGTGGAGGAGGTGGGACTGCTTTCGACGATCCTCTTTTCGCTATCGTTAGTGGTGTTAGATAGAAAGCATGGTGGAGGCTGAGATGAAGGCACACTCAATCCAGCATCTGAAAGTAAGCCACGTTTTGATTGGGTCGAGGCTGTTGTGCAAAAGGGGAGCAGCTGTAGAAGAGGTTGTCGTAGTGGA